CCCGCTGCGTGTGCGCGCGAAGGCCCGTCTCAATCTCCACCGCCACCAACTGGGCGTTCAACTTCGCGCTCGCATGGGCCGTCCCGCCCGGGCTGAGCAACATCGCGTACAAGACGTACTTCATCTTCGGCGCGTTCGACTTTGCCGCATGCATCCACTTCTTCTTCTGCTTCCCCGAGACGGCCGGGCGGTCTCTTGAGGAGGTCGAGGAGATCTTCGCCCAGGGCCACGCCTTCACCGCCTGGAAGATTGGGAGGGACGTCGGGAAGAAGACGGTGGAGGATGCGAAGAAACAGGTCAAGGAACTTGAGCTGGTGAGCTCTACTTCCGCTCAGATCCTGCCCAAACAGACACTGACCAGGCGTTTGTAACCTAGCACGAACACATTGACGAAAAGGTTTCGGACGTATAATATAGCTCCGTCCCTCTTTCTTTCCGGCGCTTCTCTCTCCATACCCTCTACTGTGATGTATTGCGACATGCCTTCCCTCGTTGTAGTGCTTTGAAGTAATAAATTCTTATTTCTTGGGATCGATTATTCAAGTCGAGGTCGTCCAACCTGGGAGCAGGCAGAAATTCCTTGCGCTACGCCTCGGCTTTTGCCGGCGACGACATGTGGCAATGACCTACCTCTGGAGTAGGCTTGATCCTGCGCCTCTTAAAAAAGACTTAGTAGACGAGCAACTGTCTTTAATGGAGGCTTGTACCCGTTTAGTATCAGCGTCGCAGAAGTCCCCCCCAGGCTCTCGCGTGTGCTCAAAAAGGCAGGATTCTCCGCCCAAAACGGCAGGTGCACATGGTTGGCATCTGCCGGACCTCGGCACGTATATAGTCTCGACCTCTTCAACGCTTCCTCTACCCTACACCGAGGGTTATACTGCCTATAACGTACGCGCTGAATGCGCAAAAGCGCATAGAACCTCATGTACACAGTTTCTTTAAAGTGGGGGGTCGAGGCACTAAATGTGGCCCAGTAGAAGCCCTACTGGGATCAAAAATCACGCTGAGAGAACTGTAGCTTTTCAGACTGTCTCCTACTTTCAATGGGGAGTCCCAAAGCTCAGTAGCTCCTCCTGGTACATGATCTACAGGATAAATTACAACTACTAGGTTATAGTACTGCGAGCACAACGGGGAGTCAACAGCACGAAGTTCCTTGCCGTATATTCGGCAAGGTCCACGCACGTGGTTTACCACTGCTGCGGCGCCCCAGCTACTCGTTTGGGTAGGGTTCACTTCCAAAAGCGGGCTAAGGGGGGACTTCCCTATGCTGTATCGGAAATATGCACTAGCCTACTCTGGAGCGACTCATTATACTCAAGAAATAGGACAGTGCATCGCACGGCTCTGGTCATTATCGGTTTACCTACTCGGAATGCTAGTATCTCTCAACTCGAAAGTCGAAGCTTGCTTTGTGGATGGTCACAGTGTGCATAGCCCTCGTAATGATGTTGATCGTTCTTGTTTGAGATCGCAAGTCTCAATACTAAGAAGTCTTGCAGTGTAGATCACCCTTGTCTGTTGGAGCCTTCTTTACGGCCCGAAATATGCAAGTCCTTGTTTTCATCGGCTCGGGTAACACGGATATCATCTGTCTGCATCTCGCAGTTACCAAATGAGTCTGGACGTCTTGTCTTGTCCTGTTGAGCTCAAGAAGGACAACAATTGGTAGCTAAGGCTATCTTGGTATTAATAAGACTTTTAGCCGCTTCGAGTGGGATGAAGAGCCACTCCCGCGAGATATATAACGTCACTGCAACATCCGATCCATTCAAAGCTCACAATTGACGAGTGTTATTACTACCTTCGAAATGTCGGCGGTTACGGCCCTTATACGCAAAGGTGAGAGTTCATAGAATCTTGTTAGGTGATGGACTGCTGAAGCACAGGGTACTCAGTACGCCTGCGTATGCGGAAACGCGAGCCGACGCAGAAGCGTCCTGTAGGCTTACCGCCCGAACTGTGGTCCATCATCTTCGAATATGCAGTCATATGGGTGACTTTCGACTTCTCCGGCGGCACAGCAGAAAACAAGTCCATACCCCTCGGAAGGTTAGATAGTGATATGTTTGGTGTATTGGTCGTCTCGCACGTCTGTCGGCGCTGGCGAGCGATCGCTCTATCGACCCCTCACCTTTGGTGCGCCGCAACGCTGAAGGACACGCTCAAGGCATTACCCGATATCCTAGCTCGATCCGGTACGCTTCCCCTGAGCCTCCTGCTCCCGAAGTGCGACCTCGGGCATACCGCTGCACTTGTGGCGGAGTGCTCTCGGTGGCGCCATATTCGCATGGATCTCACACAGGAAGCCTTGCGGCTATTTCAGACGACCCCTCCGCTTCGCTTGCCTGTGCTGCAGACTTTGTGTCTTGAGCTGTCTGTAAAGGCTATGCACGAGCTCAATAGAATCAGGGCATTCGAGGACGCACCCATGCTGAGCCACCTCTCTCTCGTCTTGGACTGTTCATCGACGAGGGACTGCCTTGTACTATCTGGAGTATGGCGGAGACTTACACACCTGGTTTTAACCCGTCGCGATGGCTTCCTGGACTGCATAGACGCTCTTAATCAGTGCCCCGCGCTCCGAAGTCTTCACCTTATATTCGTATACGATGCGCTCTCCTCAGATCCACGCTTCAACCCACACTACCCCTCTCCTTCGCAAACGCTGAAGCTTCCGCAACTCGAGACCCTTCGGCTATGCGCCCCAGACGTGGGCGCTTGCTTCACCCTCCTAGATCTCCCGGCACTGGAAGAACTGGATGTTGTGAGTCTTGGGAATGCTATGTGCCCCGTCGAAGCACTTCCCGTGTTTACCGAAAGAACGAAGTGCCACCTCCGTAAATTGGGCCTATACTTTCTCAAGTGCAACCTGCGCGCCTTGGAGCGTGTGTTACTGTGCTACCCATCATTGGTCGCACTGCAATTATCGAGCCACGGCCTCTGGCCAGCAGGATATATCAACCTGGACGACGAGTTCATCGATTTCCTAACCCACCCGAAAAGGCGAGCAAGCAGGGAGAAGCTCGACGTTCTTCCGGGGTTGCAGAGCATAAACATTTTCCACTGCAACGGTTTTTCGGCGGACGCGATGACCAAGATGATAAAGTCCCGGCGGGCGGGACTGGCACGTTATGCGCACCTTGCCACGGTGCACGTCCACAGCCAGGGTCCTCGTGAGGGTTATGACATGATCTGGGCGTATTTTCCGAGTCATGCTGAATTCGGATGGAACGCGCACGTTACTAAAAGTTACCTAGGGCGAGGTTGTTAATGCCGGTGTCAGGACGCCGGAGCACGTGTTGTGTCGCGATGGGCTACCAATTTTTAGCGTGGTCGTGAGGTCTGTAGGACTGTCGGCACTGGATGCTATACATTAATATTGGTACAAGTACAAGAGAATTTACGTAGCAGCTGATACAGGAACGAGGCATGAGCAAGACTTACCCTCGCCAGAACAAATACAGCGCTGCAATAGACCTTATAGTTTTATCAACAGTTAGGCTAAAGCTCAACAGATACGAGATTGCTTTCACGCCGACGTACCACAGCAAGGGGGGGGGGATATTGAAGCGCCCGGCCTTCGCCTTTGTCCTACCGCCACGAGTGGCGCGTCTCCTGGGACTGACCGCAAGCTGATTATCCTCGACCTCTTCGATGTACGCGGAGGACTCGAGATACTCCGAACTGGATGAATGCCGCTGAGACGATGACATCGCATCCTCCAATGCGAGGAAGAGCATGCTGGCGGTACGATGTTAGTCGTGCAGATTGGACTATTTCTTCGGAGTACGCACGTCTCTATCAGGTTATGTCGCCTCCCACAACAGGGACACGTCACCGTAAGCGAAGCCATCGACCGATACGCGCCGTCTTCGTCCAGCTCGCCGCCCGCAGGTGCATAACGGTCGAGCGCAGTGGCGTCGGCGTAGTCGCGGTATCCAGAACGACGACGAGCTGCTTCCTTCCTTTTCCACCTCTTTGGCATGGTGGTGGTGGTCGGGAAGAGAAAGGGATGGAGGTCTACGGGAGGGAGATAGGTTATATATGATGCCTCTGGCTCCGACGCGAGACAAAGGAGAAGCGTCGCGATCGCGAGGACTTCGCGAGGCTCATAGAAGATCTGCATGCACGTGATCGACGCGTCTAGGCTCGTGATAAGATAAGATGCTTGATAATCGGTGGCATATTATCTGAGCTCTCGCCCTGTCCAGGGACTGTGTACTACCAAAGGTATATTCTTCATATAACATAAGCATAGTGGGATACCTGCAATTGTCAAAGACCATGATCATGATCATGAGGGCCCAGCCCTCTTCGAATGTGGCGGCCACCTTGGAAGGGAACAAACGTTGACAACAGAGAGAACGTAAGTGCATGTCATTATGTGGAAGACTGGGAAATGTACTTGTGCTATCCGCCTCTTCTGGTGGTTCTTAATGCACACTACTTAGTAGAGTGACTAATGCATACCTTTTTGAGGAAAGCCGCGGACTACGAAACATCACCATACGGTGTATTCGAAGGCCAATTCTAACTCATGACGAAGCCGCGTATCTGACAGAGTCTCAGAACAGACGCTTGGGACTATTTTAAGCAGGTATTTATAACGGTCCGTGTCGCAAGGAATGAATCATGAACTGTCGCAAAGGGCGATCATATATCCTGTCGAGACCGATTCGTCAGAAAACAATAAGGAAGCGAGTCAGCTTGCAAGCGCTGATACCTCTCCTCGGATGCAACCTGAGCTAGCAAAGCTTACAGAATAGCATTGCTCAGATCGATGAAGCATATGTCATAATTTGGAATCGTCTGCTGCATGTGCCTCCAGAAGTCGACATACAGATACGACAGGACAAGGCCGTGAGTAAACAAGGATCGGATACTCGAGACGGTTTAACGACACTCCCGCTGGTTTTTGTTTGAAAACATGTACGCTCTACCATACGCGTTCATACATACCCATTCAGATCTGATGGCGCCCTGTCGCATATAAAACTCTATATTGAAACTCGAGTTCAATTATCGGCACTCTCTGGAGACAACAGTCACAAGTATTCTCACCTGAATCTATTCTTCATCTCAACGTTCCACAGTCCTTTCGGGAGCAGGGGACTGACGCTTGCACCGCTACGATGCACTCGGACAAGTTTCGAAGAAAACCACGAAGAGCGCCGGAAAACGCCGGAGCCACGTGTCTGCCCGGCGGTTTCGCCACACTGGCAATCCACAGCTTTCGCAACTTCGACGCCTCCGATGTCTGCGGATATCCGGCGAGCACCTCCTGGCACATCAGCGTCGTCACACCCAGAGCGACTAGTGTAACTGCGCGACTTGTTGAGGTCTTGCAGCGACTCTCCCCGTCAGCCCTCAGTCAGCACTCGGATGGCCGAGGGCGCTATCCAGGACTCGTATCTTGCAACCTTCGGATCCAGACTCTACATTCGGCCCGGTCTCTTGAGTACTCAAGACGCTTCAGATGCTCGACGAAGCCCGCCTGTCAGTGATGCGATGTCTTGGGATCATCAGACCAGCCTCTCGCCGGAAAACGGCAGTGCCTGACCGCTCCTTTTGTCCGCGAGAAGGATGACGATGACCAGCATCCTGGCTCATTCGCAGGAACGCGCAAGACGAGCTTTGCCATGGCAGACTACATACGTGTTCTATCATGGTCGTCCCCACATCGGCTTGTTCTATTCTCGCCGCAACGGGTCTAACGTCTAAACACCGGCTCAGGTCCGGACGTTTCATTAAATCAAGGAAGACCGCACAGCTATTTGATTGAGTCTAAACACCCAATGACATCGTCAACGAAGACCGCAGACGTCGTTGGGCGTCTAAGTCCGGACTTCTAGCCCGGATGTGCATTACCCCTTGATCATGATCACTACGTATACCACCCCTGGCCAACCCCCACCACCCCTACCGGAAGTCGTGACCGCGCATGCTGTGCGCCTCAGCCAGATACTCATGTCAAGTCATCGGCGCTGCGTATTTGGCAAGTGCGTCCATGGATTTCATATCTTCATGCAACGCCATCTTTGAAAAAGCCGCTGCGAGGTACGAGCGGATCAGATATTTCTTACGAATCGCATTGAATGCTGCTTACGTCGCTGAGGCTCTCTTGCAGCAATGATGAGGTGGGCAGGCGGGGCCGAGGTATCTTGACTTGCCCCGTTATCGCTCATAGCCTTGTGGATGCCGCGTGACTCGAGGTACATCTCGTTAGATGTGCTCCTGGATACATGATTTCAACTTGCCATTATTGTTCGTCCAGGGTCGCGTGAAACTTGATGCCCATGGCTCAACGATCGAGCCGTTGGAGGAGCATGAAAATATGGCGGTGGCCATCGTGGTATATATACCGCAAGACCGTACCTGAACACGCACCGGATATTTGTTGCGATGGATGCTGCTTCTTCTACTAGTACACTGTATATTTTTCTAATCGCTGCTACCTTAATTGCCGCATACCTAGTACGCCGAGCACTAATTCCTTCTCCGCTGCGCCTTATTCCGGGCCCGCCTGCTGAATCGTGGTTCAAAGGTAAAGTATCCCGCATTTGCCGACGCGTCGCTGGCTCACCCCATCCCGTTTTTTAGGTAACCTGGGCCAGCTCTTCAACGCAAAGGGTCTGCGCTATCATCACGACCTAGTCGAAAGATACGGAGGCGTCGTGAAGGTGCATGGTTTCTTTGGCGTGCGTCTGGCTTCTATTACCATTCGCTCCGGTAGTCTCAACCATCACACAGGACGAGCAACTGTATATTTCCGACCCTAGAGCTTTACACAGCATAATTCTCTCAGACCATGATGCCTTTGAGGAGACACGTGTCTTTATCGAGTATGTACTATCGTTTCTTTTGTACTTGCATGGGTGTTTGCTGAAAATTTGTTCTATAGGACGAACAAGGTCATATTTGGGGAAGGCCTGGTGGCCACGACAGGTAAAATCGCCCTTTGATTACACTCCCCACGGGCTGACTTCGAGCGCGCTGCAGGCGAACATCATAAACGCCAACGAAAGATTGTCCTACCAATTTTCTCCACGGCCAACCTCCGAAGAATAACGCCAGTATTTTATGAAATAGCGCACAAGGTATGCGTTTCCAGCCGCTGTATGTTTATTGGGCTCATGATATTTAGTTGGTGGATGCCCTTGCCAGTGACCCCAATATTTCCACGGGGGCGGAGAGGAATCCCATAGACATGGCCTCCTGGATGTCCCGAGTTGCGCTAGAGAGCGTGGGGCAGACCGTTCTTGGGTACTCCTTCGATCCTCTCGAGACACCGTCAAGTAACCCGTACACGAGCGCCGTCAGGGAATTAATGTAAGTATCATTGCGTTTGGAGATGACTCATTCTCATGACTCGCCGACGCAGACCGACATTGTTTTCATTGTCGCTTGTCCGGCAGTTCGCTCCGTTCCTCGCTAAATTAGGACCACCGTCCCTCCGCCGGAAGCTGGTGGAATGGACGCCGATCAAGTCGGTTCAGAAAGTGAAGGACATGTCCGACGTCATGTATAACACTGCGCGCTCGATACTGCGGCAGAAGACCGACGGTGATGCGGAGGATGCCCCCACCAGCGCAGCAGGAGGGAAGGACCTCCTTCGGGTACTAAGTAAGAGGCCTTTGGTCATGCGTCGAATATCGGGTCTGACAGCTTTATGCAGTGAAAGAGAACAAGAACGCCCTCCATGACGACAAACTTACGGAAGACGAGATCATCGGGCAAATGACGTGAGTCTGAGCCATTCTCGTCAACGTTGACAGCCCGCTGAATTTGCGAATATCCAGTGTCCTCATCTTCGGCGCTCAGGACACCACTTCGTCCGCGTTATCCCGATTGCTGTATATGCTTTGCACACATCCGGATATTCAAGAGAAGCTGCGAGACGAGATCCGAGACGCTCAGAATGCAGGGAATATAGATGAGAACGGTGACCTGGATTACGACATTCTCATGTCGCTGCCTTGGCTAGACGCTGTCCTTAAAGAAACCCTCCGATTGTGCGTTCTTTCTCCTTGAACTCAGATCACGATATCTGAAGGAACCCACGCAGATATCCCCCTGTTCCGTTTGTCCGCCGCACGTAAGTGGTCTCCATTTGTCCAGAGGAACTGTCTACTGACACGGTAGCTGTAGTGCCACGAAAACGAGGAGAATACCCTTGTGGCGGGCGATCCACTCCGATCGGTCATCAGAGACGCCTATAGACTCCGTTGTAATCCCGGAAGGAACCACGCTCTTCCTGGGCCTTGCTGCGGCAAATCGTTCGGAAGACGTTTGGGGTCCGGATGCTAAAGAGTGGAAGCCAGAACGATGGTTGAACGACGAGCTTATTCAAGGGAAAGCTAGTGATGTACCGCGGCTACCTGGGATTTATGGCAACGGGATGTACGTCTTGATCGTCTCTTGGCAAGTAACGATCAGAGCTAACCGCCTGCTCACTAGGCTGACATTCTTTGGGGGCGAACGCTCCTGCGTGTAAGTTTAACTTCTGCTTCTGGCCGTATTACTCCGGCTTACTACGTACGCCAGCGGCTACAAATTCGCACAAGTCGAAATCAGTAAGCTTCGTCTTTGCCCACTCAGCTGGCGATCCGCTAACTCTACGTGATAGAGAGTATACTGGCGACTCTATTATCAAACTTTGAGTTCTCTCCGACGGCCGACCGGGTCGTGTGGAACCTATCCCAGATCATCTCGCCCTCGGTCAGGAAGGATGTTATATCGCCATCCGGGGCTCGTGAGGTACAGGAGCAACAAGGACTCCCTCTCATCGTGCGCCCTATAGTTTGAGACATTTCTTGGACACCATATGGACTGGCTCTTATACCTAATCTACGATATGCATGAATAATGGACAATATACGTATCTCTTGCAATGTATTCCCCGATGTCATGATCATAACTTTTGCATAGCTTGCCCCCTCTGCGGTGGAGTCTGTAATGACACCGGTACTGCAGCTGGCTAGGTTAAGGTCTGGAAGAGGGCAGAACTCCCAAGAAATCGAAGCTCGAGCCAACTGCCGATGAGATGCGACCGAGGTCGTGTGGGTCGATCTAAGTATATCTGATATAGAAACAGCGATAACATCCCCCTCGGCCTGACAAAGCCTTCGCAAGACGTCAGCTCGCGCAATCGAGCCTTCCTCCCTTCCCTTGTCTCAGGTCCGACGCTACTTGCTATATAAACGGGACGCATTCCACACCAGCGTGGACGCATACTTGCCGACGCTACGAGTGGACGCTGAGCCATGTCCGGATTCAAACACTTCGCCATCCAGGGCGCGGGGAACATCGGCGTGTTCCTCGCGGAGGAGCTGCTCAAACTGAAGAAGGAAGGGACCATCGAACGGGTCGTCATCCTCACCCGCGGTGTACGTACCAACCCAGTCACCGGCGAACCCTCTGTATGTACTAACGATGCACCCCGCCTGATAGAGCAGCAGCGGGCGCGACACCCTCTCGCAGCTCGCCGCGCAGGGCGCCACGATCGCCGCGGTCGACTACACCTCCGCCCCCTCGCTCACCTCCGCGCTCGTCGGGATCGACGTGGTGATCTCCACCGTCGGCGGCGCCGCGCTCGCGACGCAGGAGCCGCTCGCCGCCGCCGCGAAGGCGGCGAACGTCAAGCTGTTCGTGCCGTCCGAGTACGGCGTCGTCACGCAGGGACGGACGGAGGGGATCCTCGCGTACAAGAATACGCTGCACCGCAAGCTCGAGGAGCTGAAGCTGCCGTACGCGCTGTTCTATACGGGCCCGTTCGCGGACTTTATCTTCAATCCGTGAGTGGTTTGATTTGTGCGTGGTGCGTGAAAGGGAGGCGCTCAGGGGCGGACAGGACGTTTGGGTGGGATCGCCCGAATGGGAAGATTACGATTGCGGGTGAGGGGAAGACGCCTGTGAGCTGGACGACAAGGAGGGATATCGCGCGGTTCATCGCGTACGTGACGACGCGCCTCTCCCCGGACCAGCTGTACTGGAAGGAGTTCCCCATCGAGGGCGACCGCAAGGTATGCTTCATCCAACCCTCGCGCTGCCCTCGTCCTGACCACCGGCAGACCTTGAACGAGGTCGCGGAAGCCTACCTCGCCAAGACGGGCAAGAAATACGAGGTGACGCACACCCCGCGCTCCGAGTTGGAGGCAGCTCTGAAGGAGAACCCGAACAACTTTGTCGCGTGGCTGAAGCTGGCGTGGGAGCAGGGCGAGGGACTCACGGCGAAGACGCCCGAGGAGACTGCGAACAAGCTCTATCCCGACTGGAACCCGACACCAGTTGTAGATGCGTTGATCGCGACGGATCCGTGAAGAGAAAGGGAAGAAGTGTAAGCAACAGAGGAATCAGGATGGCCTTGTACGATATTGAGAAGTGCAGAAATGAATCGAGTTTGAAACCCAGGATGACATTGCAGAGGAAGCAGCAAGGGGCAGACAGAAATAAAATTTTAGACCACATGCCACAAATCTCAGTTAAGGGTCTCCAGGGGACCCCCCCTCCCCCCGTGGGACAGTCTCACGGTACATAAAAGGGAAGGCATGTCGCATAGCAAGCAAGGGTTAGGGTTACTTTGTCACAGGGGGTGTCACATCTACGTCGGTCACAATTCATATGTTTTTCTGAAGATCGCTACCAGGGGTCGTTCTTTCTCACCGCTTTCCTCTGGGATACTTCAGAAAGGCATTTAGGTTACTCAGAATTACCCAATGGTGTGCCAGATACCTACCTGTTAGCCCCCTTACCCCAGATGGCTGGGCGCTTAACTGATAATAAATCTCAGTTAAGGGCTCCGAGGTCCCCCCCCTCCCCCTGCATGTGGTCTCGGCATCTCCCGGTGTCCGCCCCTTGGGAAGCAGGATACTACTGTGGCATCAAACTTCACAACTGGGTTTCACCTGGAAAGACAAATTCTCGAGGACGTCTTTGCGGAGAACCCGAGCAACTTCAAGTACGCGGAAGTCGGCAAAAAGGGAAGTTCGCCTGAAGATAGCGAGCTGCACCATTAATATCATACGCCCATGGAAGTTTCCTTCGCCGAGCGGGGGCCACGTCGAGGGCTGAAAAACCGACCAACACGCGTATATCTTTGAGTCCTGAGTCCACAGTACACTCTCCTGTAGTCTAACCTCCCTCCCCACGCCCCCGCCCCGGCGCGCAACACGAACGAACCCAACCGGAGAAGAGGACACCGTCATTCAGAGACCCCGTAGAGCAGTCGGAGACCCTATTCGTGCAGAAGGGCAAATGTTTGGACAGCCCGAAGCACGATTCGGCATTGCTGCAAGAGGGCCAAATGCGATGGACATCCAAGTTGTCGAGGATAGGTAGCGGATTGCTGGTCTCCAAGATGCTCTGACATGTGCAGCAGCGACTACCGCAACCTGGGAGCACCTGGTAGACCATCAATCGTTCATGTGGGATTGGCAAGTATAATAGTGAGCTAAAGCCTGTACTCACAAGTGTCCAGTCACGGGGCGGCTGATCAAGCCTTTGGAAGACCGCCGGCTATATCCGCCATATGTGCAGGATCGACTGCGCTCCTCCTCCTCCTCGCGTTGTCCGTTCGGCGTATACACTTGTCCTCTATTCACCGCGGAGATGTAGGTTAGGTCCCATGGTGCTCTGTGGCTCATGGTTGTTCCCTCTTGTCCGAGAACACGAGGGCCGACGGCTCTCATCCACTCGCCCGTTCAATTTTCAGGTCCATATCATGTTCAAGTCATCGCCCGTGCTCTCTATGGGCGTCACACACATGCACCTTCTACGTGGTCTCCTCGCAACTGCCCCCAAACGTCTTCAAGCGTACGCTCTCACCTGCGCGTCCATCGCCCGCGTTTGGTTCCCTTCCGGCCAGAGTCCTTTTGCGAGCTCCTCGTCATTCTTTACCAAGGTCGTCTCCCTTTGTCCCACATCACCGCCCCCTACGCCATGATCCACGGAATTGAACCCGGCGCGTCCTCGCGCATCGCCTGCTCCTGTTCAGCGAGCGGCGTGGAATACCAACCCCTCCGAAATGGACAAAGGTGCGGCAAAAATTCGTGACGTACGGACATCTCTTCTCTACAATCGATACCTTTGAGCTACAAATTAGCTGACAACTTCGAAGACGGGCTATGATCGTGCTCGGCATGGTCTTTCAGGAGTCAGTGATCACCACTTTCTATTAACACTCCTATATCGAGTACCAGATGCTGTTGACGTCGTGGCCAGATAATCTTTGAGATTCATGGTCGTAGTGATCGACGTCCGGGGTACGTATACGTGCTCAGGTGAAGTACATGCTCGACAGGAAGGGGCGCGAGTAAGAGGCGCGATGAAAGCTCTCAACGAGGTCAACGTTTTTTTTTTTTTTTTTTTTTTTTTTTTGGACAAGCGGTATTACCACCCAGCAACTGACTATTGGTACAGCCCCGGGAGGTACGCTGTAGCGGGCGATGCGGTGCACCGTCCGGCCCGAGGTAAAATGCATTTACGCACCCCCAGTGGTTACTGGGGAGTGTGGGACTCGAGAAATGCCTGGTGTCTCCGTTAACTAGGAGGCCTGGACAGTTCTAATACCCACTAAAACCTCATCATTCATCATCCAATCCTTTGGGAGTTGTTGTTCGCCCCGGAGTGTGCCTTTCCAGGTATTGGCAACGGTTTGTTCAAATTTAGGTTTTCTAGTTAGTTTTGCTGCTGTAACCCGGTCTGTTGTAAGGCGTCTGTTGATAGCATTTGTCCATCTAGTATTTATTGCAGCGAGGGAGTGGGTGTTGCCTTGTATCACTCTCTGGCATCTTAGTGTCCATATGAGGTACGCGGATTCCGAGACGAGGATTTGGAGGAGCCGGGATGCTCCCGCTCGTTGCTGCTTAATCTCGCCGCCGTCTGACTCGCTTCCCGGCATGTGTGTGGCGGCCGGGGGGAGAGTCAATTTCCCACTGCCAAGGATCGCTCCAAAGGGGAGGTTTGACCATTCACCATGGGCTCGGGGCCATAGTTGTTTTGCGAGTTTCCAGATTAGTGCCCTTTCTGGTGTATCACACTCTAACCAGATGTGTTCCATGGATTCTGTGGTGTCTTTGCAGAAGGGGCAGATCGCACGGTATTGATACCCATCTATAGGAGTCCAGTAATCCCCCACCTTTTGTGTGCGATGCAAGGCTTTGTGAGTGAATTGTCGGACTTCTGCTCTCAGGTTTTTGTTATGCCACGAGAGCCAGATTTGCTGATCCGTTTCCAGGCTGTGTGTAACTTCTTCGAGCCCATAGCGGGTTCTGTCAAGATTGATCACTGCTCCCTGGCGTGGGGTCACTGTCAGTGCGCGCCTCGCGCGCACTCCCCGGTAAGCTATCGCTTGGGTGAGGCAAGACAGTTTCGCTCCCTGTATTGTGAAATTTGTTGGGACTGTCAGATCAATTTGGTCCGCGGCATCTTTTTCCGACCCTTGTTTTGCTAAGGCATCGGCGGCTTCGTTTCCAGGGTTGTTGTCGTGTCCTTTCACCCATTGGAAGGACGTTCTGGCTGAACGACGGCGGAGTTGGTATGCTGCAGCCTGGAAGAATTGGCTGTTTGCCACTCCAAGCCAACCTATGTCTTCCCAGTGCCCCAGGTGTTTGGTGAGCCCATCTATTACATACATGGAGTCTGTTGCAATGGTGATCGGGACAAATGGAGGAATATCCTGTAGGGCGGCAATGACCGCCACGAGTTCTCCCACTTGGTTTGATTGCAGTGGGCCTGGGACTCGAATAGCTCGGTTGTTAGGGTGATCCGGTTTGATGTAGATCCCGCTTCCTGCACGTGCGGTGAGTTTTCCATTGTCCTCACAGGAGCCATCGGTGTAAACCGTCATGTGTTCATTTTCTAGGCTCACACCCGCTACTGGGTATTGCAGGCGGTAGGGAGGGCTTATTCCTTGCGCTGTGGAGCTGGAGAAGACCCTGAAGCACTCCACAAGGCTGTTCTTGAGGGTGAGTGATGGATCAAATGTGATTCCCCCTTTGTCTAACCGGGCTTGCCGATTTTTCTCAAGTCTGTGGTGTGTCAAGGTGAGATCATCTGCCGGCGGGTTGTGGGAGGGGTTTGTCATAGGGGAGAGTGAGTCCAGGATATGCTTGGCCTGTAGTGTGCATTTGTGTGGGTTTTCGCACCCATTACCCCTGTCAGCTACACAGCAGGTGCACCGACAGGAGCGGCGAGGCTGGTGCGTTCCCGGGGGGGGAGGTATTTCATGTAGTCTGTTCGCTATGCGGATGAGGTCACTGACTCAAAGAGTATCGTGCATGTGTAGCAGGCACCTGAAGCTGGGGGCGCGATAAGTTTTTGGGCGGGCACCCAGGTGGTAGAAGGCTGGGAGTTGTTGTTTGAGTGCTTTTGAGAGCTTAGGGGGGGGCGAAGGCAATGTTGTGTTTCTGAGCAATACGTAGCATCATGATTATATCGTCGGGGAGGGTGCGTGATCGTTGTCCCTGTGTTGGGACATCCCAGGTCTGGAGGAATGTGTTCAGGCGTGCCGTATCTGGGATGCCCTCAGGTGCAAGATGGTTTATTAGGACATCTGTCACAAATGCCCATGCTGGTCGATCTTCTGTGAAGTCAAGGTACGCTCGCAGCCACGTCAGTTGTATTGCATCATTGCGGGACTTAATGTCCAGGAGGTTTATGCCTCCTTCCTCCATTCTTAGGTACAGACGTTCAAGTGCAAGCGGTGGTTGAGGTGCGTCTTCCCAGATGAAGTTGCGGATCAGTTTGACCAGGCTATCGATGATTGGATCTGGCATGCCTTGTACTTTGGTGAGGTACTGGGTCATGCCTCCCGCCATGTGTTGCACCATGTGCCTTTTGCTATTCAGTGTAGGGTGACCCTTCTGTAGGCGCTTGAAGGCTCTGTTAACTTTGTCAAGTGTGCGTTCCCAGGGCACGACAGGGTTCGCCTTATTACCTATCCAGGCACCTAGGGAGCGTATAGTCTCGCCGTCCTTGACAACGTGAATGCTCTCAGGCAGTGGTGCATCATCCTGGTGTAGTTTCCTGGAGACAATGACATTCGTGCGGTGTTCTTCATTGCCAATTGGTAGGATTTCTGTTTTCTCAGTGTTGAATTTTGCCCCTGACGCCTTGCACCAGATTGTGAGGATGTCCTGAAGATCTTCGAGGCGGTCCGTAGTCGGGAGGTATATTGTTGCATCGTCGGCGAAGAGAGTAATGAGGATTTTGTCTGCTACACCCGGGATATGGTAACCTGACAGTTTTGGGGAGTTTCGGAGCATACAGGCTAGGGGTTCGATGGCCAGGTCAAATAGCAGGCAAGAAAGGGGGTCGCCTTGTCGCACCCCACGTGTGATGCGGAACGGTGCACTTAGGACACCATTTATTATTACTTGTGTGTGCGCATTGGAGTAGAGTGATTGTACAGTTTGGATGAACATGTCAGGCAGGCGGAATGCCTTTAGCACTCCCCATAGATAGCGATGATCGACTTTGTCATAGGCTTTCTCTTGATCAAGAGCAATGATGGCCCCATTAGATTCTGTGGCTTCGGCGAAGTCGATCATGACTTTAGACAGTCGGACATGATTAAAAATTGACCTGCCAGGTACAAAGCCCGCTTGGTCTCTATGTATGAGCTGAGGGGCTGGATCTGCTAGTTGGAGAGCAAGAGCCTTGGTTAGGATCTTATAGTCTGAGTTCAGTAGAGTGATGGGCCGGTAGTTTGCTATTTCGTCTCTATTTTTCTTCTTGAAAATGGGGCACATCCAGCCCAGTGTGAAGGATGTCTTTTCATCTACACCATATAGTTGTATGTTGTTAAAGACATTTGTCATGACTTTAACTACATTAAAAGACTCTTCTCCTGCTTTCTCAGCGGCTATGTGTCGTTCGTGTAGGAGTTTCCAGAGTTCATAAGGGATCCCATCCATGCCTGTTGCTGTGCCAGCTTTTGACATGTCTAATGCCTTCTGGATGTGAACGGTCTTGAGTCGGTTTGCTAAGTCATTCTGTGTTGGGGCTGTGTATTTTTGATCCTCTGGGATGGAGGAAAGGACTTCTTCCTGTATATTTTGAAGTTCAGCCTCACAGATGGGGTATTCTTGAGCCGTCTGTAGTTTGTCGTGATGTTGGGCTGCAATCTCTGCCATCTCATCGGAGCATGTGGCAAAGGACAGTTGTTGAGTTGCAGGATTTCGGAGTCTGGGTATTACATCCCTAGGTTTCTTCTCACTATATACCTTTGACAGGTATTTGCTGGGTGTTTCTCCTTTTGAGGCCCACATTGCTTGCCCATATGACTGGGCCTTCAGATATCGCTTTTTCTCCAGGTGTGTGAGTTCGCTTTGGAGGAAGGCCGCATTTGAGCGCACCTCTTCTGCAGTGTCCATATCTGTCCTGTTAGTTGTGCGGGATATGTCTTTCTTCAGCTGGGTGATGCGGCGGTTTATTTTTGCTAGCGTGACCTTTGCATGCCTCTTGCAGATTTGTGTAATCTGGGTTTTGTAATCTTCCCAGAGGATCTGTGCATTGTGTCCATTATTGCGTGCTAATGTGACACTCTGGAGTTTCTCCTGAAGTGTCATGCCGAGCTCTATTGCCTCCGCCAGTAGGTCACTGTCATGGAGAAGTCCCAGTGGCCAAGTCCAGCGGCCTGGCCCAATGTAGGTTGCATTGGTTGGCGAGAAGCGTAGCGAGAGCATGCTGTGGTCACTTGGGATCTCTGAGGGTCCTTTTGTCCAGTCCCGGATATTTGGGAGGTGGGGGATACGTGTGTATATTCGGTCTATGCATGAGAAGTGGTGTGAGCTGCTGGTGTATGTGTACGCTCTTTCTGTGGGGTTATCATGTCTCCAACCGTCGACCAGTCCGAAGTGTAATCGGAACGCACGTAGTGCATTTGTAGCACCAGTCGGGTCCAGGCGCGGTGGTGAGCAGTCGAGGGCTTCCTCAACTATGTTAAAGTCTCCCACCATAAAGTCAACTTGGGGATTTCCGGCTTGTATTAGAGCAGTAGTTACTTTGTCCCAGAAATCTGGGTGTTCTCCATAGTCATTGGGTGCATAGATGTTGAGTAGAGTGAATCTTTCTGAGTTGTGCCACTTGGTGGTGAGCAGAAGGGCTCGCCCTGGTATGAGTTCAGTGCTCTTTATATTTGTGGTCTGTTATTTCTCGGTTCAGGACGAAAGCCACTCCGGTGATATGCACTGACACACAACAATCACCAAGGACCAAAGGAAATAAACCTAAACCCCGTGATATGGGTGAAGGCGGTCCGAGACAACTGAAGGGTATTTAATAGTTCGAGGGGGAAAGGAGGAGTAAGACGCCGTAGGGTAGTCCGTAGGAAGACCTAGAAAAATAAAACAAAACCTTGACGCCTGAAACAAACACTAAGGGACGCTCCGGAGTATTTATCTCCGGAAAGTCGCAGACAAAGTCGCAAACCACGAAACCGAGTGTAGGTTCGGGCCCACGGGAGTAGAAATTGCTAGAGAAACTTGGTTAATTTTATTTCGCTATGTGAGACTCACCGGAGCTAATTGGATCGATGGCGGAGATAATTCACTCGACGAGTCAGGCCTATTGGCAAAGCTAAGATCGGTTATAATTCGCTAAGTTCGACGCTTTCGAACTTCTCGGGTCGCTGAGATCGTAACTCTAATTCTCTGAGATGGTGAAGTCGAAACTTGTTTTTCTGTATGCTACTTTGTACAATTTATACTACAGGAATGGCTTTGC